CATCGAGTCGGAGTATATGATGAGGTTGGTTAAGCTCATGGCTTCAGCCAGGGCGAGCCCGGACAGCAATGACTCGTATTCGGCCTCGTTGTTGGTCGCCGGGAAGAGGTACTGGATTGAATGGCAAAAGAGCTTCTTTTGGGGATCCACGAGGACGACCCCCCCCACCTGCTCGTCCGGCAGTGGAGGACCCATCGACGTACATCACCCAAGGCTCCTCGCCGTTCGCCTCTTCGATTCCCGGCGTGAATTCGGCTATGAAGTCCGATAGTACCTGCCCCTTCATTGCTGTTCAGGATCGGTAATGGATGTCGTATTGTCTTAGTTCCACCGCCCATTTCACCAACCGACCTGAGGTGTCAGGTCGGTGCAGGATTTGTCTGAGTGGGTAGGCTGTGAGGACAGTGACCGAGTATTCCAAGAAGTGCGGCCTCAACTTCCGGGCTGCGGTTACCAGGGCGAACGCTAGCTTCTCCATGGGTGGGTACCGCAGCTCGGAATCGTGAAGCGCCTTGCTCACGTAGTAGATTGGGAATTGGCTCGAATCCTCCTCCCGGATTAGGGCGGCACTTACGGCCACGTCGAAAATTCCCAGGTACAAATAAAGCATCTCACCTGGGCGGGGCTTCTGCACTATCGGAGCCTGGCTGAGGGTCTCCTTGATCGCTTCTAACGCTTTTTGGCAGTCCGGCGTCCACTCGAACTTGTGGTTTTTCTTGATGGCGTCAAAGAAAGGTTTGCAACGGTCGGTGGACTTTGAGATGAACCTGCTCAGGGCGACAATTTTGCCGATCAGACTCTGAACCCCCTTGATCGACGTCGGCGGTCGGAGGTCCTGCACCGCCTTGATCTTCTCGGGGTTTGCGTCGATGCCGCGCTGGCTGACTATGTATCCCAAGAATTTTCCCGAACCAACGCCAAAAGTGCATTTTTTCGGGTTTAACTTCATCAAATAATCACGCAAAATAGAGAACATTTTATTGAGATCGTTTACATGGTTGGATGCATACACGGATTTGACTAACATGTCATCTACATACACCTCTATACACACACTTATCAGACTAGCAAACATTTTATTGTGGCCCCGGCATTCTTCAGCCCGAACGGCATCATCGTGTAGCAATATAGCCCGCGCGCTGAGTAGAAGGAGGTATGTTCTTCATCGTCCGGATGCATGGGGATCTGGTTGTAGCCGGAGTATGCATCCATGAAACTCATCAGCTCGTGCCCCGAGGTGGCGTTGACCATGTAGTCGATGTGGGGGAGAGGGTAGCTGTCTTTGGGGCATGCCTTGTTCAGATCGGAGAAATCTATGCACAGGCGCCACGCTCCGCTGCTCTTCTTCACAAGTACCGGGTTGGCTACCCAGGTCGGGTACCGGACTTCGCGGATATATTCGTTATCCTTGAGCTTGATCACCTCTTCTTCTAAGGCTTGTTGTCGGTCTAGGCCGAGCTTCCTTCGTTTTTGCACGACCGGCTTGACCGTGGGGTCGACCCGCAGCCGATGGCAGGCGACCTGCGGGTCGATGCTGACCATGTCTTCGTGGGTCCATGCAAAGACGTCTGCGTTTTCCCGGAGGAACTTGGTCAGCTCGGTTTTGAGCGGCCCCGGCAATTTGCTCCCGATCCGGAGTTGCTTCTGACAAGTCTCCTCGTTAATGAAGATGATTTCAACTTCGTCCATAGGCTCGGCCCTCTTTGTCCCCCGTTTCTCCTCATTTTGGGTTCGGGGGTCGAGTTCATCCTCTTCTGTGACCGGCTCTTTGTCGGCCCTTCTTCCCCTGTGCAGGCTCAGGTCGGCCCCGGGCTCTTCCTCGGTTTGTCCGGCGTCGACCCTAACCGAAGGAAGCGGACCTATCTGGTTTCCCAGCATGCGGTCGTCCCTTCGGTTAGGACCATCCGGGTAGAGTATGCTCGCGTAGGCCCCGGTGTCGATCATGATGCGATGGATCTTTATCGCCATAATCGGCGCTGTGATCACCAGGGCGTCGGAGTGGGGGTGGTCGAACAGAAAGGCATCCTCATCAGTAAAGGAGATTTTGTTTGGGGTCGGCTCCGACGCCGGCCTGCTCTCGGCGTGCATCACCCTCTGCCCGGTGTAATAGGTCTGCCGGGCATAGGCCTTGGTCTGCCTCCTGGAAAGGAGGGATTCACCCTGGCTGGTGTTGACGCGCCGGGTTGGATAATCGGTCTGGCAGGTTTCGGTGGGCGGGGACCGTTCTCTCTTCCTGCCCCTGGAGGTGCCGGCTTCGTTCTGGTCGGCAGAGCAGAAGATCATGATCTCGTGGGGGCACCCTGTTGGGGTTTCTTCCTCTTAGGGTTCACGTCGGCGTCGTCATCACTGTCGACGCCTTCCTCGAAGCGTCCCCCCTTCTTTTCTTTTCTCCCCGGAGTGGGTGAATCTTTTCATCTGCGGGTCGTCGATCAGCTTGAGCAGTGCCGAGATCAGATTTCGGCATTGGTCGATATTGTGCCCGTGCGCCTTGTGGTAGGTGCAGTAGCGGGTTTTGTCCACCTTGTCCTTGTCAGTGAACATCGGCTTCGGATCCGGCAACAACCCCTTCGCCTTAATCTCCTCATAAATCGCGGCGGCTCCCACCGAGAAGACACTCTGATAGCTTTCTTTTAGCTCTCAGCTCTTTGTCTCCGCTGAGCTCGGATTTCAGCGAATGATTTGCTCGGCTTTCCAGGTTTCTCCTCCTTCGCCTTCGCCTTTGCCGGCGCCAACGTGGTGTTAAACGTTGGGATCGACGAGGACTCCTCCGCCATTATGTAGTTCTGAGCTCGGGAAAGGAACTCCTGGTAAGTAGCCGGCTTGTTCTGGCACAGGGACCATTTAAACAGCGTTTTTGGTCTCAGGCCGCCCTGGGCGGTGATCAGCAGGGCGTCAGGGTGGCACCGCTCCATGTTTTGGACTCGGTCGTTGAACCGAGCGATGTAGTCCCTCAAGCTCTCGTTCTCGCCCTGAAAAATGTTGGCGATGGACTCCTTGGGGGCGAGGTTGACCTGCGATCCGATGAAGTGTGACCGGAACGCCGACCTGAGCTGCCCCCAGGTGGAGATGGAATGGGGGTAGAGAAAGTGATACCACCTCTGCGCCTTCGACCCCAGTGTCAGGGAGAACATGCGGCAGCGTAGGGCGTCAGAGGCGCCGTGCAGGTCCATCCAAGATGTGTACAGGCTGATGTGGGAATCTGGATCCGAACTCCCGTCGTAGAGGCCGAGCACCTTTATCTTCTTCGGGACGGCTTCCCGTAAGATGTCGGGGGAGAGAGGTGAAGCGTCGTCCGCCACTCGAGGGGTCGGCCGTGCGTAAGATTGTGGATAAGGAGGGAGCGATAGCTCACTCCTAGACGAGTGCCGGCCCTCCAGTTCGGCAATTCTGCGCCTTAGGGCCGCGACCTCGTCAGTATCGCGCCCTAGGTTTTGCCTCGCTCAATGACCTCCCGGAGGTCGCGGTTGGCCTGGCTCTTGTCGCCCAGGCGCTGGTGAACAGGACGGCGGCCGATTTGGAGGCTTTGCCCGGACGGCTTTCACCCGTCTGTTCGGTGGGTGCCGGTCTGGAGCTTTTATCGCGGCGGTTTCGGGACTCAAGGTTGGGTGATTGTGCTGTGGTCTTGGATTTGGCCGGATTCGGCCTCTGTCCCCCGGCCTCCTTTTCGGGGGTATGAAGCAGGGTGTTGCCGGGGTTTTCCGTGGGCGCCATGGTGTTTCCCCCAGCCGCCTGGCTGGCGAGCGCCCTTGCGAAGACCCCTTCTAGAGCTTTGAGGACGTCGGGGTGCTGCATGGCCTCAGCTAAGGTCGGGACTGGAGGGACAGGGACTATGGGCCCCTGTTGAGCGCGGCGAGAAGTCTCTTTGCCGTTACGTCGACGAGACTGGGCGTCGGACTGTTGGGTTGACTCATTGTGGCCGGATGAAGGCATTTTGAGTAGTTTTTGGAAGCGAAGAGTGGGAAAAAGATGGATGCGATGTGTAGTTCCACAAGATCGAAAAATTGACACCAAATAACTTATGGCACCCTCCTTCTAGCGCCAAACTGTTGACGGGCGTTTCCGGTCAACGGTTAAAAAGATAAATAATGGAAAGGTAATGAGGAAGAGACAAAGAAATACGATTTAATTATGATTTTATTGACTGATCACGAGGTCGGCACTTGCGATATACATACGATTTCTTACACAAATTCCTTACAAGTTTAGAGAGAGAGAATGTAGAGAGTGAAGACAGTTGGAGATTCAACAACCCAGAAATAAATGAAGTCGGCTGCTATTTATAGTGCCCTTAAATGTGGCACTGTTCGGACACTGTTCATGGGTCTTATCGCACAGTGTTCTTGCAGAGCAGTCCGGCGCCTTCCTGACAGAATTTAATGCGATTTGAGGTTTTCCTCATCATTGCTTGGCAGGCATTTAATGCACACATGAGGGTCATTTAATGCTGGCAGACTTTATGTCTTGGCTAGTGGATATAGACTTGCAGGCTACGACGCCCCGTCCAATCGCCAATGATTGCTCTCCAAGTGGCACTATTATATTATTATCGGGATCGGCATCTGTCTCTGGGGTAACCGCCCCGGAAACTCAGGTCAGCACCCAATCCCGTTTCGGTCTTCTGGCCCTCCGGGACCTTACTTCAGCCCGTCACCTGCCTCAGATCGGCACCGGTATCCGAACAGAACAAGTGCCGGTCTCGTGGACGGGCCCGCGGGGATGTCTGGACTAATTAAATTTGGAATTCAGTTCGGTGCTTGCGCTCGACCGGGTCTTCGGTTCGGCTTTCGGGAGATACCTTTGTCCGACTCCTCTTTGGGGCGAACTCGGATGTCAACAAGATGGAGTGTAAATTCCTCAATTAAAAATGATGTCTTAGGTATAATTTTCTCTAAATTCTAACCGCTGCATTGGTTGGGCCGTATGTATCGTATGGGCCTACTTGAAGACATGAGCGTGTAAATTAATTAGTTGGGTTGTAAATGAAGATAAAGTGGGATGGTCCAGTCCAGTTCTTGAGGTGTAATAATATAGTAAACCCTAGCTCACTCATCTCTCACTTTGTAGCTCATTTTCCTCTCAGTAATCTGCTCCCGCGCCTCCACTGTATCTTATCGCCATGGTTTGTTGTTCCGCCTCTCGTAGTTCTGTGTCATCACTATTCGCCCATGCTTGATTGCTTAATTGATTTCCTGTGCTCTTCAATGTAGGCGTCAGAAAAGAAATTATCGAACCCGATGAGAGAGATTAAGGTTCAGAAGCTCGTTCTCAACATCTCCGTCGGCGAAAGCGGTGATCGTCTCACAAGAGCTGCTAAGGTACGACGTTTGCACGAATAAGAATTCTGGTTTTCTTCCAATCATCATTTTCCAAATTTTTCTACTTTTTTCAGGTGTTGGAGCAACTCAGTGGCCAAACCCCTGTTTTCTCCAAGGGTAAATATTTGGAGTTTGTAGATACAAATTTCAATGGTTGAGTAAGATCATATTCTCGTGTTAGTATTATTTTCGGTTTATGTCTGTGTACGTGAGTCTAGGAATGGAAGTAACTGCTTAGAATACTGTGCTGTTATATAATGTTCGAAGCATTTCAAGAGTTGATTGTTGGATTATCTGAAGCATTTGCTGTCTTGAATGTTGTGATGTTCTCTTTCTTTTTTTTTTCTTTCTATTTATTGGAGGATTGGCATATACGATGTAGTGAGTTTGAGATTCTTATCAAATTTCTAATTGTCAATTTGGCATTGATCTCAAAGCTTACCAGATTAAGGACTATTGGCCCCTAGGTTTTGGTCAAGTTTTGTGTTTGTTATTCAGAGGGAGTCACTGTGTGCCTTTATTTTCTAAAGCTCCAATGGAAGATATCAATGGAGTCACTGTGTGCCTTTATTTTCGTTCCTTTATGTGCATACATTTTGTTGAAGAAGTAATCAACTATGATATATTTTTTGGGTCCTTTATTTTGCACATCTCGTGTCACTTGTAATTGATATTGAACTAAAGTGCATTATGAATCTGGAATATTGTAAAACATTCTTTTTTTTTTCACATGCTTCCAGCAAGGTATACTGTGCGTTCCTTTGGGATTCGGCGTAATGAAAAAATCGCTTGCTACGTCACAGTTAGAGGTGACAAGGCAATGCAACTCCTTGAGAGTGGCTTGAAGGTCAAGGAATATGAGCTCTTGAGAAGGAACTTCAGCGAGACTGGCTGTTTTGGTTTTGGAATTCAGGAACACATTGATCTTGGAATTAAGTAAGCATATTTGTTCATGCCATAATATACCCCCTCCCCAAATTAGCTCAAACCAGCTTTGCGTTTTACTTATGGCATAGTGACAACAGAAATCAGGAGATTCGGTTACAATTCTAGAAAAATATTATATTTGTCTGTTTATATAAAGACAATAATAATATGCTAGTCTATTTATACTGGATACCTTACTAGTTTCGAACTATAATATAGAAGCATTGTTGGTGGAATAATATCTTGCATATCTCACTTTATTCTTGTACTCACACGATGGGTAAATTAATTTCTCAACACATGCTAATTCAAGAACCTTTTTCTAGGTATGACCCTTCAACTGGTATTTATGGCATGGACTTTTACGTTGTTCTGGAACGTCCTGGGTACCGTGTAGGCCGTCGTCGTAGGTGCAAGTCTCGTGTTGGGATTCAGCACAGGGTCACTAAGGATGATGCCATGAAGTGGTTCCAGGTGAAATATGAGGGAGTTATCCTTAACAAGGCTTCAAACATAGGAGCTTAGGTTGTAAGAGGCATTATCTGACTGCACAATTTATATATGTGTTTTATCATCAGTTTTTGCCAATGTTTTGTGGAATTCCAGCTTTCGACAACTGTGTTCGTCCACATTTTATAATTTTCCAGAGATTATTTTATGTTGCTTTTTGAGTGGCTGATGGGTTATGCTGGTTACATTTATGAATATTGGTTAGTTCAGGCTATTAAATTATCTTAATATTGGTTTTTGTCTGGCTCTAACAGAAATGTGTTATGCTAAAAATAAAAAATGAAATTGATTTCATATGCAGTCATCACTGTTGTTCTTTTTACGCTGCAGCTTAGAGGTATGTTGAGACTTCTATGTGCGCCCTTTTATATTTTTGCGATCTGCAATATTAGGTTTATTGATGGTGGAGTTTTGAACCTGGAGTAAGAACATGGTAAAAGTTGAATATGGTTTGCATTGTGTAATAAGACCTAACTTGGTTTCCACTTATTATCAGTAACTTTTCTTGTTATCAAAACAGGGAAAACATGAATCAGGTTTTTGAGTTTCTTTTATCAGTCTGGTTGTTAAGGTGATATTAAATCTGGAAAACTTGATGATAGTTTTAAGCTCTCTAATGGTACGGTTGCAAATAAATTGAATTTATGTTTTCTTTTCTATGTGTTGATTTCATGAGCATCTGAATTATAGCATAGGACTGTTAGCAGTTGGATATGATTGGTTTTTAGTTAATTTTGAAAAAAGTGATATGTCTAGTTGTAAGTGGGAATTTAAATTAAAATAATCAAAATCGATTTGATGTAAAAGTGGGAGAAAAATAATTGAAAGTGATAATTAGTTAAAATTATATGAGTGGATGAATAGTAAATTAAAGTTAATGTGATGGATAAGAATGACTAGTTGATATTATTTATTTATATTAACAATATTGATGATAGTGAATTTGAGTTAAATTTGAGTTTTTATTGGTTAAGTTTATATATAATAGAAAGTAGAAACAGTCGTACGTTAAGCATAAAATAATGCACACAAATGGGTAAATAATTTTGTATCATATTTTTTTGACAATTTTTTTGTTACATATTTATGCATTTATGATATACAATAATAAGTTCTAATATTCAAATATTAAAAGTTAAAATGAATGGTATTGTTGTCAATTATGATATACAATAATAAGTTCTAATATTCAAGTATTAAAAGTTAAAGATGAACTAGTAATCATCCCGTGCATTTGCACGGAGGAGAATACTTCGAAAAAATAACAATATAAAAAGGAAAAATAAAATACATAATCATAATTTAATTCATGGAAAAAAAATATAAATTAAGAAAATGATTCTAAATATTATTAAACGCTTCTTTATATACGATATTTTCATATTGTCGGAATCACCATCACCACATATCATTATCTTCAAACTCTATTGAGGAATTTACACTCTCCACTTAAACAAATTGAAAATATTATATAATTACATCTCCCATGTAATTATTTGTGAATTAGCTAATTTTGTTTATTTTATTTGCATATATGCCTAAAAAGATGATTTCCTATTTACATGGTAACTTTCCATCAACTGATTTCCTATTAAATGGTAATTTCCCATCAACTACGTCTCTCTCCTATCCCTCTCTCTCTCTTCTTCTCTTTGTCCTTAGCGATTTTCTCCTCTCCCTAACCCTCCCTATTTCACGCAAGAGCCGGCAGGAAAAGCCCTATAATCCATCGCCAATCCAATCGCCACCCACCTTCTCGGCAACACCACCACTCGCGGCCGCTGCACCACCGCCGGCATCGCACGCACGCCCCACGCAGATTCCCTGCAGCGAATCCCCATCCCTGCCTCTGATCGATACACCACGAGCAGGATCAAAACACCACGGCCAACTTTCAATCGCTGCCCCTTCCTTCCAGCCACCGCGAAACACGCACCACGAGCGGATGCCGCGCCCGACACGCCGTCCGAGGCCCTGCCCTAGTCCATCCCGGCCAACCATCAGATTTGATTGTAAATTCCCTTGGTCAACGGCACAGGATGGTAACCCCCCTCTGATATTATGTGTCTTGAGAAATTTTCAGTCGACTCCTCCAATCTCCCTTCACACAAGTCAGCCACCTCCTCCAATCCCCCTTCCGCCGCCGCATCCGCCTCCGTCTCGCTCAAAACATCCGCGACGAGAGATGCATCTCGCTCAAACATCCGCACCAAAAAAAGTTTTTTAGTTTCAAATTATTTGGTGCAGATTTTTAGGGTCAAATTATTTGCTGGGATGTTTATTATTTCGCTCAAACTTCTCGCTCAAATATCTGCACCGACTCAAACTTTTTTTGACCGATAACATACACTGAAAATATTTGATTAACATACACTGCAAATATACTGAAAATATACTGAAATATACTGTTTTTCAATGTTTATTTAACGTATATTTACAGTTTATTTGATATATAGTCAGTTTATGTTGTTTCATTTTCGATACTTTAAATGCAAACATACACTGCAAATATACTGAAAACATTATAAACGCAAACATACACTGAAAATATACTGAAATATAATGATTATAAACGCAAATATATACTGAAAATATACTGAAATATAATGATCATAAACACAATATACACTGAAAATATACTCAAATTATTTTGCTGGGATGTTTATTATTTCGCTCAAATAAAGACACTGAAAAGGAGAGATTTTTTTTTTTGTAAACGGACGCAAATCACGCCCAAAAAATAAGGAGAGGAAGTTGAATTGATATGGTAACTAAATTAGGTATTAATGTAGTTAATTTTATCTGTTATGTAAATATATAATTAATTTAATAGGGGTGGTATTGTTGCAATATTTTTCATATCTTGTAGGAAAGATGAAAATTTCCCAACTCTATTCGTGACTCTAGAAAGAGCAACGTACAACTGTCCATGACTGAAAACAGGGTTCTTCAAGACTAAGTCGACGTGTGAGAGAGACTGGTTTTGACTCTTGTTGATCGTCATAGCATAGGAGACCATGATAGGAAATGGTCTCCGCTGAAACTTGAACAATACCCTCAAACAAATAAGGAATAATAGAATGTATGCTGATTATATTATAATTATCATCACATATAAACATTTGGGCCGAAATTATCTACTGCACTAATTGCATTATAAATAGTTGCTAAATTGGGTTAGATAACATATTAAAAAAATGTGGTGAATTGAGCTTAATTTTTTATAAAAATCTGTAAATGCGACTTTGGCCAATGTTCTTAGAAAGACCATTTGTTTAATGGGCCTGATTTAATAAAACCCCCCAAAAATAATTTTCAAATTGAACCCAATACACATTTTCTTTTAACAAAANTTACCATAACTCAATCGGTTGAAGAGTTTGGCCTTTGTCGACTTTAGTCGAGTGTTGAATCACGAACGGATTATCGGAACGAACTTCTCGGGCTTGGGCAGGTTCGGATCACGTCTCGGGTCGGGTCAGGTTGCAGCGGTTCAGGTCACGGACAGATGCTGGTCACGGACAGGCGCGGGTCGCGGTCAGGCGCGGGTCGCAGACAGGCCGTGTGATGCGTGTCGCTGGCTGGTCGCGTAGGGCGTGATGAGCGGGCCGACAGATGGTCGCGGGACATGTGCGCGTGCTGGGTAGGAGACCTAGGTCGTCGCGGATAAGGGCTCGAGCAACTGGTAGACGCGTGCTGGGACTGGGCGTCACGCGAGCGTGTGCTGCAAGTCTCCTGGGCGCGCGAGGAAACATGGACGAGCGCGGGATGGCGTTCGCGAGTCATGCGGTCGCGGGACGTGCTGGGCAGAAGCAAGCGAATGTCACGACGTCACAGGAACTCGCTGATGGGACCTGGGCGTGAGCAGTGGCTGTGCGCGGTTGCGAGCGGGGATCGCGATCGGCGCGCGGCTGGGCTCGGGCGGATCTCAGTTGTGACAGGCGGCGGCGGCGATTTCCGGCGTTGGTCGACGGCGGTCGGCAGTGGAGGATGGCCAGAAAAATATGATCTTCAAGGTTTTATTAAATTACCTTAAGAACTTCTAATGAATTACCTTAACACCTACTTCGATTAATCTTGGTGGTGCGATTAATCGAAACTCCCTAACTCTCGACTATGTGTTGAACACGATTTTCCTCTATTTCTAAGACCTTAAAATCGAGCTCTTGCAATAGGAGGGGAAGAGGTTGGCACATGGTGTATTTATAGGCTCCATTAAGGACCTTGAGGAGGTGCCAAATATGGACTTATCCCATTAGGCTAAGGAATCCTAATTCTACTCCATAAACTAATCCCAATTAGGTCATGATTACTTTTTCCTAACATCACTTTATAGAAGACTCTCAAGTCTTCTAACCCTAGGTAATATTCTCTTAATCATGGAATATTATTTACGGAATAAAATTAATTCCTAAAATCCTAATTAGAATTAAATAATAAAATATTCCACTAAAATATTATTATTGTTCTCCCCATTTGGCTCCAATTTATTCAATCAATCAAACCTCTAAATGATTAATTAATTAATTAATTAATCCCATTGACCGAATTACCCCCATGTTTAAGATATAACATCCGTCAATTAATTTAATTACTGACAATTAACTTAAATTGACTTCTTCATTTTCGAAATTAGTACCACTCAGTTCATTAATCATTATGCCGGATAATTATCCACCTGTAGGGTTTGACGTAATATTCCTTCCTGAGCTCATTTCGGGGACGTCATCAACCCAGCGCACTGGGACACAGTGACTGTAAATAATTTATAAGGTCACACTATATAAATATTCTTACTTACCAAAATAGCGAGTATGTCATCCTAACAGAATAGGAATTACCTTTGCTAAATCAAATAAATAAGTAATAAATATATATGCACATTTTACATTATCTTACAGCTTAGGAGAACACATCAATAACTGAAGGTCTAGATTATAACAACGATCAGTAAATGTTATAATCTTATCATTCCGCGGTCCGTTCAATACTTATCATAAGTACTAGTGTAATTCATCAGTTAAAGACCAACTGAATCAAGAGTACACTACAGTCTTTTTCTAACAGGGGTCTCACTGCCTGTCTAAACTGTGATAATAAATTTATATTTTACAAGGAACCGATAATATGATCTTTCTGTTCGACACGACGAACCATATTATCTACAGTGTAAAATAATGGAGTCATGATTGCATAAATAAATAAATTGCAAACATAAATACTTTGACTAAAACACGATTGCCAGATCAAAATGGAATTATTAATATCTGAAAGCCAAGCTTTTACAGCATATCTAACAA